ATTTATGTGAATGGAATAGTTAGTAGTCAGGCAATTAGCTAACAGAAAGCTAAGAAATGTATCTTTTTAAAACTGAGAACTGATCAGGTGTGGTGGCTCACATCTTTAATCTCAGCACTCAGAAGGCAGAGGCAGGTGGATCTTCGTGAGTTCAAGGCCAGCCTGGTCTATATAGTGAATTCCAGGGCAGCTGGAGCTACAGGGAAACAAACAAATGATTCTGCCCCCCAAAAAAACCCCACAAGAATTGGGATGAGACTGTAGTTCAGTAATAGAACATCTACTTTGCATGTAAGAAGCCTTGGGTTCAAGTCTCATCCCTGCCACCACCATCAAACAACCTTAATAGACAAGTAAAAGACCAAGAATCCATGGAGGTCAGACCTTAAAGCAGCTAGAGTCAAATCAGTTCCAGGAGTGGAGTTAGCAATTCATGGGACCTCTAGTGATCAGCAATAGACAAAGGGACTTCTAGGGAGGAGGCATGCCTAACTGGAGAAGGCTGTGCTTTGGTCTTTAGGTCGCATTACCTTAGGGTTTCCCACAGTTCCCTGAATGATTCCCATCATGTAGCACTTCGTAGCCACTGCTTGCTGCATCACCTGTCTCCCTTCTTCTCAGGAAGAGTGTGCCTGTCTTTCAGTGCTGTCTGCCATGCAGGGTATGCTCATGAACCTTTAATGAGGAAGGTAATTAACATGTGATGCACTACCTGTGCTTGGCCCAGCTCACTCTCAAGGTATAATGAAGACAAGCAGTCTGGGGGTGCTACTCTGAAGTTTGGGAAAGGACAGAACAAATAAAGGGAACCTGAGGTCCCACTGATGATGTTGAGGTCCCAGTCCCTAGAAGAGAGTCTTCTATGCTTAGAGAGGCGGTAACAGGAGAATTAGCAACAAGTGGAGTCTAGAAGCAGCTTGAAATGGACCACATAAAGGACCACTCAGGCATCTCAAACAAAACCTGGACCTCCCAGTAATGAAAGTACTGGCTTGACCCTCACAATGTCCACAAACATCAGGCCACAATGAGCTAGCTTTTAATAAGCACCATCCTGATACACAGTCACTTACAGTAAAACACACAAATCATAAATGCAGAGCTGGGTGAATTTTAAAGGAAATAAACTATGTGACCTACATCCAGAGGTAGAGCAGGAATCAAAGCCCAGATGCTCCTGGCTTTCCCATTCAGCCAAAACCACCCTGCCTGTTACTTGTCCTGCAGGGTAACATTGTACATGCATTGCCCTGCTCCAGGTTTCCTATCAGTGGGTCCTTGTCTGTATGTCTTTCTTTGTGGGTTGGCCTTCCTATTCAGTGTTGATACAGTAAGATGTCCTCATTCAGCATACACTTGTAGGGTTAGCATGGGCTCCTCTTCCCAGCAGACATCGTCAGAGACTTGGGAAAAGTGAAGGACACACTCATAACCTTGGGGAAAAGGATTCCACTATACCTAGTATATTGTTTGACACAAATTCAGCACTTAGTCATTCCATAAAAACTTGGAAACAGGCTTCCACTGAGAAACCACTTTTGTGTTCCAACTCTGTTGGAAGGAAAGAATTGTATGAGTCGGTAGCATGTGGCAGTAGGGAGCAGGGTGTGGACAGAAGAGGCAGTGACCAATGCTGTAGGTCAGGTAGCTCCACTAAAGGCTTTGACTATATGGTGCCTTTCAGAGGACAGCCCTAGGTCCTCTGGAACCTCAAAGGTATCTGAGAACCAGGTAAATGCCAGGTGAGGGGAAATAGGATCATAAAATGAAAACTACCTGAATACAGGGCTCTGTTATGGTTCTGCTGGGAGGCAGCTTCAGGGTTTGGAGCCCTAGAGAGGGCAGGCCTCTCTGTGTACCCAGAGGCTCCACACAGAGAGAAAGGAGGCTTGCTCTAAAGGAACCAGAAGTGACAGAAGGGCCTACAGGAACACGTAGGAAGAGGAAATACCAGGGGACAGAAAGCAGGGGTCTGAGGCTGCTTGCAAATGAATTCAGAGACAGCTGTGAAGAGAAGGAATTGGCTCAGTCTGCTTCCTTGACCAGATCCTCTTTCAAACCATCAAATCACTACACCATCACGACAAGCTTCCCAGGCTGGACTGAGGACAGGGGTATCCCTGGCGATCCTTCCAGACCAGGAACGGGCCATGAAGGAAGACTGAATTTTGTGCACCTTCCCCACCAAAGGCAGAACACGAGTGTGGAGGGACAATATCCAGGAGGGCAGTACAAAGGGACCTATCTGTGAAACAGCTGTATGTGTGTTTCTTTATTAATGCAGTAAATACAGAGGGAGCAGGGACTTAATAAATACCATGACTTAGAACAAGAGCATGAGTAAATGAAATTGGGACTATCTGCCAGGGCAGCGGCATGTTCCAGAACTGTCTATGACTTCCGTTGAAGACAAAATCTCTAGGATCAGGCATACTACCATGCTTTCTTGTTTATACACCCACTTATAGAAATGGCAAGTCTCAGAGACAAATAAAAACAAAAATGTGATATTTCCCCTTGACTCACTTAACTCCGTCTATAGACCCAAACTCCTGAAAAGACCTACAAGTTCTTTTTCAATATAAATCTTAATTTTGTTTAACCCCTCCAAGTCAGAAATCAGATTCCCAGGCCTGGCCTATGAATCCAAACATAGCGGTGAGATCTAAATACACAAAGCAGAGATGCCACACCCCACAAACACCCCAGATTTTGGATATAACAAGCTTCAAGACACAGAAAAATACAGCTCCCCTCTCCCCAGCACCACAACCTCTCTCTTTTGGGAACACTTCAAAGACCCTTCCTGACTGTCTCAGTCACCTGACACTCTGACTCCTGGACCTTCTTCAAATCAACTGTGTTGTCTTTTGTCAGTTACTTTATCTACGTCAGTTGGTGAATGAATCAGAACACCATGACCACAAAGCCTTCTTGAGATCTCAGGTTTCACATTCACACCTATAGATTTAGCCTCCTTTGCCACATTCCCTGTCTCTGGGACCCAGGAGAGGGAATGTGGATGGACAGGTGTCATGTCTCAACAGATATCCATTGGTGTAGCTGAGCCTCTGCAGAGCCAGACAGCAGACACAGCCCCTATACCCATGAGGGAGCAGTTGCCAGGCTAACATCAGCCACTGGGCACTGGGATGGCCTTGTTTACCTGTGGTTTCTTATTGCACAAGTATTAGTTTCCAGATGCTGGGAATAAATACTCTGCACGTGGAGAATGTGGATGATCAGTTAATGTAAGGAGGGTTGTAAAAGGCTTTGGAAGGGATGATAAGGGAGGTGGTCACGGGGACATTTGTGTCATGGGCCAGTAAGCAAAATCCTAAGTAGACATTTAAACAGAGGGACCTAAAGGATGAGATGAAGCCATCTGTGTGGAAAATGAGAAGGGAGGCAACAAGAGTTTAAGGTCTTAGAAGAATAATCATCAGTCTAGAGAGGCAAAGACTCACTGAGAGGACTCCAAAATCAGACCAGCTCTGCAAAGGACAGCTGAACTCAAAAACTTCTCTATGTGGCCTTGGGCAAGTCTCTTACCCTCTCTGAATGTGTTTCCCAGTCTGTGAGTTGGGTTGCCACTTAGTTCCTTTGTTAAATGCATTAATGCTGGTAAAGCTCTTAAACAATGCCAGGTCTGGTACCTAAGTCTGGGTCCGCTGTGACTTATTCTAATGAAATGTGTGGAGGGGTTTAAATAGCGGAGAGATGCAAGGTGGTGTGTCTTTAACAGATGATCAGCTTTGTGTGGGCTTCTGGGGGTCAGTAGACAGAGTGACCCAAGCCCCTAGAGGTTGTTTACCCTGACTGTTCCCAGCTTTTCTCTCTGGGAAGGGGCAGGGCCTAGAGCCGCTACTGAAAGGCAGCAGCAGAGTGGCCATCTGTCCCTCAGGTGTCTCTCAGGTCTCTCAGGCATACCAGATGGGAGGGAAGGTTGAGAGGCAGCCAGCCACTCCCTGGCCACTGGGGAGCCCCCTGCTCCCACTTCCCACTCATTCCAGGCTGATATTCCCTGCCCACCAGCTTCTGTTTACCAGTGTCAATGTCACTTTCCTCCGATTCTAAGTGCCTCAAGGACAGCAGCCATTTCCCTTCACTCTAACTACAGTGACCAATGACACTGGCCCCACGCTGGGTCCCCAGGGCTTTTGAATAATTAATTGACTAAGAAAAGGATGCTGGGATCAAGGCAAGATGCTCCCACAAAGCCCTAAAACCAGGTGATCTAGGGGGTCTTGGGGGTTTAGTGATGCACCCTGGATCCAGGGACAGCCTTCCTCTGGCTCTGCAGGGAGCACTGTTCCCCACCTCAGAAGCATCCCAGAGGGCTCCCTTGAAACCTTCCAGACCCTGCTGCCTTGCTTGCCTGGGGTGCACAACCCACGGCCCATTTCCAACCCAAGGGGCTCTGGAGGCGGTAGAGGAAGGGGATGAAAGCCCACCGGTCTCCAGAGCTGTGGAGGAGGGAGGCTGCGGCTCAGCTGCTGGGTGGGGGAGGGTCCTACAGGCTTCTTCTCTTTGGCTATCTCTAGACTCCAGGTACTCTTACTGTTCCTGCTGCCCAGCTGGGGGGTATATAGGGAGGGGACGCCACTCCCTCTCTGGCTTTTTCTCAGCTCTATGTTTGTCCCACAGTCTCCTTGCTCGCCCTGGCAGACCCCACTTCCTGTGATCCCTGATTCTGCAGGCTTCTCCCCACTGTCCTTTGCAGGGTGCCCTAACCCTGCAGGCCCCCTCCTTGCCTCTCCCACATTCCTTCCTAAGGCTCACAGCTCCCTCTCTGTACACTGCACCCCTATTCCTCTCCCAGCCCCCTCAAGCCGCTCATCCCCAATTCTCCTTCATGTCCCTCCCTCACTCTGGTCGCGATCCCCCTCAGGGAGTCTGCTGTTTCTCTCCCCAACAAGCTCCGTCTGGCAAAGTGGGAGGCGACCGCCCCTACCCGGTGTCCCCCACGCAGCCGGTCACCCCGCCTGGCCCACGCTCACCTGTTGGGTCGGCTGGAGCACGCCAGGCCTCGCCTTCTCCGGGTCTGGCTCGCTGTCTCGCGGTAGCAGCCCCTTCTTGGGGTGCATGTGCCTGCACAGGCAGGTGACCCCGCACAGAGCGAGGATGCTGGTGGCGGTGCCCAGCGCGGCGCCCAGCGCGATCACAGGCACCGACAGCACCATGGTGCCTGCTACCCGCCGGGCTCGCCCTGTGCTCCCAGCCCGCCTCTCTCTGCTTGCTGCTCCGGCTCCTGCCCGGCGCTCCAGTCCTCTAGATACGCGAGGGCGGGGACGAAGCCAGCCAGGAGGAAGGAAGGCTGCGAAGACGTCAGAGGCGGAGGCTGACCGGGGGCCATGTCAATCTCAACACTCTCCCCGCCACCATGTGACCCGCCTCACCACCCACCAGGAGGGCCCTGGCAGGTGACAACCTCAGGTTGTGTGAGGCCATTACTAAAGCGCTCCAGTCCTCTAGATACGCGAGGGCGGGGACGAAGCCAGCCAGGAGGAAGGAAGGCTGCGAAGACGTCAGAGGCGGAGGCTGACCGGGGGCCATGTCAATCTCAACACTCTCCCCGCCACCATGTGACCCGCCTCACCACCCACCAGGAGGGCCCTGGCAGGTGACAACCTCAGGTTGTGTGAGGCCATTACTAAAGCTCTGTGTACACACACACACACACACACACACACACACACACACACACCACACACACGCACACACACATACACTACCCTTGCTCCTCCCTCCCCCTCCTAACACACACACACACACACACACACACACACACACACACACACCACCCACGGGCACACACATGTACTAACCCTTTGCTTCCTTCCCCTTCACCTTTCTCCAGGGCTGGCAAGGAGGCTGTAAACTGGATGCTCCCGCTCTGCAAACACAAGAATGGAGCTGTCCTATTTCTCAGGTTCAGAGTTGCTTCCCACCAGGGGCAGACACAGGAGGCTGGGAGGGGGGAGATGTAGGGGGAGAGGGAAGATGGGAGAATAGAGGTGTGGCAGGGAGGGATGCTGTGTCCAGCTTGAGAGAGCCCTGTGCTCTGGTAGTGATCTTTGGGCTGCACTGCAGCCCATGTTTATTACGTTGTTTGATCTGCAGCAACTTCACACATGCACACATGTACACACACATACACACACCCTGGCAGGGGTAATAACCTTAGGGTAGTCAGGGATTATTCATAATACTTATGTATACAAACACGCACACTTGCACACACACAAACATAGATGAAGATGCCTAGGCTCAGAAGGGACATGAGGCCACTAGAAACATTGTCATCATCCTGAACCCACACCTGTGTTTTCTGAGTTCAAATCTTATCTTTGGAAGGTCAAGAGTACCAGATGTAGTGTCCACAAGGACACGTTTGGCTCTGAATTGGGGGGAATAAGTGTGCTTAGAGCGTGAAGAAATTACAATTCCTGGCAGGAAACCTGCTGTCTTAGATCTAGAAAAGAGTGAGTTTTGAGTGTTTTTTGTTATGTGGAAGATTTGATTCAGCAAATACTGGCTGTGGGATAGTGGGACTCTGGGCACTCATGAGAAAGGGTGTCAGGGACTTCCTCTACAGCTTCCACTGGCAGGATGACCCTGAAGCTGTGATCTCCAGCCAGTTCTTTTCTGTTGAGCTGTAGGCATGAGTACTGTCTGGGTCTCTAACCCTCCTCCCAATTTACCACTTACCCACTCCTGCACAGAACACCACCCACTACTCAGTGCCTTAGAACAATTACTTTTTTCTACATAGTGTGATTCTGTAGGTTGGCTGGGCTCAGCTGGTGGTTTTCCTGCTCAGTGTGATATCATCTGGGGGCTGTAGTCATCTTGGGGTCTGGCTGGGCTGGAATGCCCAGTAACTTACTCACATGGCCAGCAGCTGGTGCAGGTCACCACAGGAAACACAACTAGAGCATCAGCAGGTGCACTGGGTCCTTCTCCATGTGGCCTCTCTAGTAGCCAGAGCATCCCCCAGTATGGCACACAGGAAAGGCACACACATTCTCTTAAGAACTGGCTGCAGAAATTTTAGAATACCATTTGTTTGGTCAAAGCAGTAGTTACCTTCTCTAATCCTTTCAAAATCCGTCAAAAAGGATGTTTCTGAAACCCAAAGCTAATCCTGGCAGTCACATTCACCTTTCAAAAGTTCTCCATGGACAGACCCCAGAGACAACTTAAATCTAAACCCTTTGTTATATAGTTGATCCCTGCTAATCCTTCTGGGTTCCTCTTCATCTATCCCCAGGAGATGTGGATTCATGCAACAAACAAACATCTTTAGAGGCTGCACGCCATCACCCATGCCTGCATGCAACAAGCACTCAATAATTAAATAACTCACATAATCATCTCACTTGGGAATTCTAGCAGTTTTGAAGGGACGCCATTTGCTATACAAGCCCCATTTTATTATATTGACTCTTCTGTAGTTATTGGTTATGTCCCTGCTCTATACCATGAGTATTTTCTGCTGAGTCCTGTTTGCAACCAACTGTGAACTGCAGCACACCATCTCTGATGTTTGATTTAGCAATCTCTCTCATCAGAGCCTCCCTAGGAGGTCTTTTTTTGGCTTCCTGGACCTGGCAATGCAAAATATTCTGGGATGATGAGAGGCTTAATTAATGCTGTTGGCTGCAGGTCTCCCAGCCTGAGTTGCTCCCCTGGGAGACCTTCAATGCCACTGGTCTGAATAGGATCTAACAGAGGTATGGAGGAAAGGATGAAGAACACTTAACACCAGAAAATGTCCGATGTCCATCAAACATCTGCCATGTGGTCCACTGTTGCTATGGCTACTGGGATGCTAGCAGCTTCAGCGGCCTTCTTTTGTAGCAGGAAGAGGGCCCTTAGCCCAGAAGGAGGAGCTTACCTCACATCTCTCTCACTTGCAATGAACTCATGACAAATCCAGGAGTGGAGCCCTGAACAACTGAACCCCAGGAGTCACCCATGCCTTTGCTATCCAACTAGACAGCTTATCACATCCCAATCAAAGGGAAGACTTAAGCTTCTTGTGGCTGATATCTGGGAAGGGACCTTCAGTAACAAGTCTCAGAAAAGGCATCGCTAGATTTCTTTGAAAAATAGGCCCACGTGTACAGATAAAACAGTCAACCTGGAAGTCGATGAGATAGTCTGAAGTAAAGGCCTCTGGATAATTGAGAATGTTGGAGTTGCCAGGCTGCCAAGGGCAAGCAAGGGCAAGATGCTGGTGGGGCTTCTACAGGTTGAAAGACAGGTCTCCAAGGGCTCCACAGCCTCTGGATGAAACGCCATCATTGCATTGTGGATGGTTATTGTGCTTGTTGGATGTTTAAATATTGTGAGGAATCACTCTGAGTTACTAAGGTATTCAAATGTTTTCATATGGGAAAAGGATTTCAAATGAGACTTGAAAAAGCTGCTCACCATGGGATATCCTATCCTCTGAGAATTCATAAGAGGCAATCCCATCAACATCAAAACTGAAACCAAAACCAGAGCACACAGATCAACTGAACTCCTGGTCCCTGGATTCAACCAAGAGACACCATAACCACTGGATGGATGCATGAGGCCTCACAGTGATAGCTTTTTAAAAAATTATTTATTTAATGACCACATGATTAGAAGAAGCATTTCATTACAGCATTAACATATTTACTAACGATTTCCAGAGCAAAGATGCATCTCTTTCAATATTGACTAAATTTTTAGGTTCATGGTTGAATTAATACAGTTATATAATATTAAGCTCAATATAAACCCTATAAGACATAAAATTGAATGAGGTTTTAACCTTTAAAAAAGATCTCCATTTCATTTTAAAATATACTGTTTCACACAGAAAAACTCATTTTTAATGCTACTAACACTTGGATGTTTGCACATGCATCTCTAATCTCTATGTATCTGATTATTTCTAGTCACCATCAGTAACTTTCTGAGATCCACCTGAGCATGGATATAAAATCATTGGGTAGATTTCAGTGGTAATGTGTTTCACCTCTACTAATTAACACAAAGCAAATTTTTATGGTTCTTCCTCAAATATAACTCATTTTTTTATTTGTTGATTTTTTGTGTGTATTTCATACAGAACATCCCAAACAAATCTTATTCATCTATATACCCACATCCGAAATAGCACCCTTTCTTAGCCGCCCTCCCCCACTGGAGCCCATATACTCTGCAATCCCTGTTACTGTCTCCTGTGTTGTTGGCACCCCCAGCCATTCTCCAGTGTTCGACCATCCGCTGAATCTAGTCAGCCTACCTAGAGTTCCTTGTTTTAGGATGATCAGCTCTTCCTCATGGGGCAGCAATCAGTTGCCAATATCCCTTTAAATAAGATTGGGGTCTGCTGTTCATTTTCCCAGTTCTATGCTGGGTTACTGTCTGGAATGCTCTTGGGCCACCCTGGCCAGCAACTCAAAGGAAGGTATCTCCTGTCTGGTATTGTTTCTTGTTATGTAGCTTTTAGCTATACACATGGACTCTTAAAGAACTATATTGATCCCTTTAATCTTTGGTTATACACTCCTTTTGGGTGTTTAAGACCATACAGTTGGTCCAGATAAACCAATTTATTTTTACTATTAAGATCATTTGAGGATCTGTTGGTCAGGAGTCACATGGGCTTGGGAGGAGCCCCTGGCTCCTTTCTTTTACCTGTCCCATCTATGTGAAGATAAGTCAAAGGTCCTGCTCAATTATGGCTGGCTTTACTTGGAAACATGGAGGAAATGTTTCCTCTGTGTTGACCCTCCTCTTTGTAGACTGGACACTGGTTCAAGTCCATTTGGTGGGGTCTCCATGGCTTCCTTGATCACCATTATAGGACATTTTGAGAGATGCTCATAGTCCCCTGGAACTAGTCGACCTAGGAGGGAAAGAAGCAAAAACTGTCTTTTATGTCCCTCTGACCAAATTAGTTAGGCTTCAAAGTATGGCTGTTAGACATCCAAGAAGGTTAGTTCTACCAGTCTGGTACTTTTAATTACCATGTGTTATGTAGATAAAGCTTGGGCAAAGACCAAATGTTCTCAGGTAAACCTTGCCTAGACATATATTATGGTCCTTAAGCTGGTTGTATGTATAATTTGTCAGTAAGGTTTGG